CATTTAGTGGATCCTAAAACGTAGTTTTTTTCCACTCTGAAAGAACACTGTCTTTTTCATTCGTAATTTCTCCATTCTGTTATTGTACTTCCATTGGAATAAGTTTACGCCGTTTTTGTCCAACACCGATTCGGCCGATTTCTTTCCAGAATTCGCGTTGTTTGCCACTTTCCAGTTCATCAATTCTTAACACTTTATTTCTCCAATAGTGTCGTTCTGCACGTTGTGATTTCCTTTTCGTAATGAACGCACATCTAAACTCACGTTTTCTTGACGTAATCTTACCCTTAAGCGTGTCTTTCTCCGCTTCACAGACTTTGTTCCAAAGCACAGTAAGACGACCATATTCTATCTCCTTAATCGTATTCCGATCGGTTGACAACATGGAACGTCTGTTTTGTAGCCAGGTATGGTAAGAATTGGATCGTTAAATCCGTTGTTTCTCACAGAGTAAAAACCACGTTGTCTATACATGAAAAATCCATTGGAACTCCTTTTTTGTTGGGGTTGGGGGTTTGTAAACAAAATACCTTTCAAACATACCATTGCTTATTACGGGTAGTCTTATTTTCCCGTTCTTTTTCCTTGTAGAACTTATTGTATTATTTATTGTAAAAGTTTATTGCCATGAATATATGCATGAGAAAATTGCCACTGGACGTGAAACAAGCAACATTAAATTATTCGAGAGCATGATATTGTTCGGATTTGCCTTTTTTACAAGAAGAGGTGACACAATACGAATATGCATACGCAAACGCAAAATAACATAATTTGCAAAAGACAAATTTGACGATCGATTGCACTTCTAATTTTTAGATAATAATTTCAAGCTATGCAAGACTTTACTATCGCCGAAACATGTTTTACAAATTATATGATTAAACTCATATGTAGTTAATGAGTTAAATCACTTAGAAATACCAAACAACTGATTAAGTACCAAAACGATAAAGACGGGTTGCATTGTTGATAGTGAAAGATAATCTGAATCGAATTACAACCGGTGCTTTTAAAAATCAGTTGTAATTTAACAAGATGGACAGAAAGACAATTAGGAAATTAATGCTTTTATAAAGGGAAAGAGACTGAATGTAAAGTCAGAATTTCAGTCTAACAGTAAAGAGCTCGTTTTTTTTCGTTGAGACATATATCTGTCTTTTGGGAAATTTTCTTGAAAAAAACATCTCTCCATGCGTCTTGCCTATATACTCATTTCTATATTTATAGGGTTAATAACGAGTGAGAATAGGATATCGGCTGATATCAACTCGAGTTATTTAATTTGAGTATAATAATAAACGAGTCTTCGGCGAGTTTATTATTACTATTTGAATTAAATAACGAGAGTTGATATCAAGCGATATCCAACTTTCAGAAGTTATTCAACCTATTTCTCTTATGGTTAAACACTCTCAATATGGTAAATTAAAAATTCCGCGAAATGTTGATCTAGTCTTTACACATTCCAGTATGACGTCATATGTCCTTTTCTGGTGTCAAACTTTAACATGAGACATTTTAAGATTTTTCGTACGCTTCAGAATGTTATAAAATTTGACAAACAGAAGAATGTCATTTGAAATGTTTGAGTGTTTTGTATATTATTGAAGAAATCACATATGTTGGTTGCCATGGACGAAATGTACATCGTCTTAACCTTTGAAAGTAATCAATAATCTAACGAATAGCCAATGAAAATGCCGTAGTATCGTCTTGTGACGCTGGATAAGCATATCAAATTAACGAAGATTTTCGTATCACTTTTTCGTATCACACTCCATGCAGTGTGATACGAGAAATATCTATTCATGCAGGAAATAGATAACAGGCCACAACCATAAGAAAAATAGATTTAGATGCTTACGTTCAGACCTCTTCGGATAGGACTTTTTGGCCTCTTCTACGCGATGTTTTTATTTATAAGCAACGTTCAATCTAGCCAAAAACACTTTTGTTTTCCAGCTGTTTATCTTATGTTTGGGTTTCACTTTAGAAAAGGGTAGAAACCGCAAATTGTTTGTAGCTGAAACAATACATTAGATAATACCCGTCACATCTATTGATTTTACATCGTTATCATTTTTGGAAAATCGTATGTTCCTTTATATACACCCGATTATAGTTCCGCTCGCATAATAACTTATAAAAATAGGTCGTATATTTAATTCCCGCCACCTTTCAACTGCTTCCTGTTACAGTAGAAGCGCATAGCCCAATCCCTTTCGTAATGTTTTGTTTGTACCAATTTAAAAATCAAAAGTAGCGCAAGTACATCATTGTATACTATTGAAGATTCCGTAAGAAACATCACATCTGCGATGTCTGCTTTTAAGTCTCTATGATATATAAATTCATCCTAATTTTCGTTGTCCCTCAAATGAATATATCTATGTGTACTAGTGCCTTGCAGTTGACAAGTTTGAATGTAGGACCGTTCTAAAATCAGAGAAGAACATATACATCTCGAGATAAAATTTCATCTGGGAGAAGAAATACTGCTGCCATATGTTGATAATCCTGAACAGAATAGACAGTGCTGCGAGTAACACTTAAAATGTCGTAGATCAGTAAGTGAAATTGATAATCAAAGTTTTTTTGATATATATGCCTTTACAAGTTTGCAATAAAATCCTCAAGTTGTTTCGAGTCTTTCATCAATCATTTTATGTTTGGGTATGCAATAATTTTGAATGCTATTAAACCTTTACTGTTTAGTCCATTTTTTGTAATATACTTTTAGCGTGGTTTGGTTCTTAGATATCCCGCCATTGTATTATTGTGCTATGGTAAATTATTGTATTCTTGTCTCTCATTTTTGCTCATGTACTCCGTCTATATAGTGGTTATATGCCATTTTATTTCTCTTTGTTGAAATAGATATTTGTTTTAATGTTGAATATTGGATTATTTTACAATGTTGACTGTTGTTTCCCAATTTTTGACATTTTTACCGTTTATATCTGTTAATTTTTGCTCACATAATGTTGTCAATATATTGAAATTATATGTAACTGTCATACAAGTGAGAAATTCAACTAGCTATAAAACCAGGTTTAACGAACCATTTATAAGTAAGGAAATACCTGTACCAAGTCAGAAATAAGATTGTTTTTCCGTTCGTTTAAAAGGACTTTCCGTTTTGAATTTCTCTTTGAGTTCAGTATGTTTGTTATTTGACTTTTTAAACTACTAGTATATGAAATAATTCAATCGCTATTGCCATGATGAAAACACAAAGGAGCAAGTTTTCTGGTGTCCACTATGAATAATAGACGACATATTCTACGACCCCATCAAGCAGAACCGTTTTCATATCATATGAACAGAACACTTTTTCGTCAATTATTTCTTTCAGTAATTTTTTAACACAGCGTAGCACATCAGTTGTTAATGATTATAAATAAAATAATAAGTTTTTTTCAAGAAGATTAACACATCCTACGACTTGCGATTTTGTATTATCTTTCTTCATATCCTCTCATTAGGTAATTTAATGTTTGTTGAACGCGTCTATTCCATCGAACTTTCAATCAATTTTACCACAGATATCGGCAAATCTTCGTCATATCTTGAGTTGCATAAAGAAGTTGACAATGAGGACGTTTAAGAACAAATCTTTACGATAGAAGGGATGATTTTAGCTGCCTAATTATAAATACCGTATATACATACCTTATTGAGACAATTTTTGCGTTGGTCTAATTATGTAAACCCTTACCATTATTATCATTCTTGCTAGACTTGCTGTAATGTAATAGATAAAGTAAAAGCCATATTTTAGCAAGTCATACGATTATTATTAATTTGACTAAAGGAGAATGGCATACCGGTACCAATTTTTCTGCCCGAGATGCGCATTTCAACAATTTGTATCTCTTTAGTGATGATCAAGTCAAAAATATATAAAATTCTTAAACCTTTTTGAAAATTGTAGAACTGATAAAACTGAAACATGTGAAAAAGGACAAAAACTATAACCAAAGTCGGGTAATGATTCAGTGCTTTCCATGAGAGAGAGGGCATCAGTGGTCAAGTGGTCTAAGTAGTTCTACTACTGTAATCACTAGCCAGTCAACACTGAGGTTGTGAGTTCGAACCCCACTCGTGCGGGTGCACTAAACTCCGATCTTAATTGACTAGGATTGTCAGTTTTCCTATCGCAGGTCGGTGGTTTTCTCCGGGCACTCCGGGTTCCTCCACCTATAAAAACTGACCGCCACGAAATGGCTCAAATGTGGCGCTCAAACGTGGCACTAAAACACCAACAATCAATCAATCAATCCATGAGAGAGATATATTCCTTTATTGAAATTACTTTCTAAAATTTTGTAACATCAAATTTCGACAACACGATTTCCGTATTTTCATGAAAGTACCGAAGTACTGGCGAATATATGTTATTTAGTTCACATCGAATATGTTCTTTTTGTGCTAGGCACAAAGTCATCCTCTTTTTCCACATATATCTTTGAAAGCAACTTATTGTCTTGTGAATAGTGCATGCATAAGAGGATACGCTTACCACATGAATGCAACTGGTCTCTCTTCGTTTGGAGTTCTTGCAAATCCCCATTCTGTTCTTGTTTCTTTGAATTGTCTTTTCGATCGATTTATGAAACTTGACCTTCGGTAAAGTACTGTTGTCTAACTGTATCACTAGATTGTGATATGAATTTACAAATCGACTGTTATAATCAAAGAAACATGTCTGTTTGTCCTTCGGATCACCTGATTTTAACCGGATTAAATCGGAATTAATCGCGTGCAATATCATGATAAGTAACGACATTTCTGTTTATTGTTTTACCATGTCGTTTCTGATTTTTTTTTTTGGATTTGATTGCTCCGGATTCGTGGATAATAACTCAAACAAATTATGTTCAAGTGCTTGACTATATGCTTAAAACCTTGTTATGTCTCAATAATCTCCTTTTTTATTTTCAAAGCAATTCCAGCAGAACATTTCAATTTTTTTTTTATTGCAGCAACAAAATGCATAAACATAAACATTCATTTTATTTCAAACATTAAACAACGTACAGTCAAATAAGTTTTTTAAATCAAAACAAAAATTAAAGTTTTTCATAGTTTTAATTTGAAGAAAAAAAACCACACACAAACATTATAGTTTCTATCGATTTCAATATGTTTAAAGCCTTGTGTATAAAAACTATCAAAAAGTAAAATCACAAAAATACTGAACTCCGAGGAAAATTCAAAAAGGAAAGTCCCTAATCAAAAGCTCAAACACATCAAACAAATGGATAACAACTGTCATACTCCTGACTTGGTACATGCATTTTCTTATTTAGAAATGGTGGATTGAACCTGGTTTTATAGCTAGCTAAACCTCTCACTTGTACGTATTGAATTGAATTTAATTAGAATTTCAATAGCGAATATTGTTAACCTTCTATAATTTCTATAAATCTGATATTAAATAGAACTTTTCTGGGTGTTGAAGAACAATTGACGCTGAATTCGATTTTCATTGGAATCCTATCAAAACAGAATGATATATCTTAAAGTTGTCATACCTATATTAAATATATTTCTTTATAAAAAAATGATTTTCCAAATTTAGGATTTCTTAGCAAATGGGTAGTTTATACCACTCTTTTATAATTGTTGGTTTTTTGGTCACTTTGAAAAAATCTATTACAACTTATAGCAATTTTTGTTGAAATCTAAGCATTTGAAGCTTTTTTTTTACAAATTTGTGAGTTTTGACCAACTTAAATTTTTTCCCCTCTTTCCATAAAATCCAAAGCAAACATTTTTTGACAGAATTACTTTTTGACACATACATAAACAGTTTATTCAATAAATTAAGTAAAAATACAAATTATGGAAACTTTAAAGTGTACTAAGGACTCATCGTTTCGTTTGTTTTCAAAATTTTCATAATAAAAAAGACTACAGACAATCGCTAAAAATGACCACGAGATCAATCCATCTTCACTAGGCAAGGTACAAATATAGTTCCTCCAGAATTATGTCTGTAAAGGATTCTTCTTCGATATAGACTAAGAATATTTATTGAATCCAATTAAAGAGCCCATTTTCGAGCATATACATACATGTATATACATAGGATTAATTATATTAGATATATTACATAAAAAAGAATGATTAAATAACTATACTCCATACCAGATGGTGTTTGAAAATAAATAAAATAGAATTTTAACCGTCTCTAATACATAATAAATAAACTACATCACTACTACATGTATATTAAGTTTCTGGAATGCAAATTATCTCTTATTTCAAAACAAGTACTTATAAAACTTGACACTGACATATTAACATTTTCAGACTCACATAACATTAAACAAATAAATTGTTCATACTTTGACATATAAAGGAAGTTTTTAATTTGTATGCATGCGTTCCTTTTCTTATGCAGTGCATTCCATAAAAAATGAAACTCGTCTTCAACCTGCATATTATTACACTGCCCACACAATCTTTTATCTTTATCGATTTTTTTTGTATCTACGTATATCTTTCTCAATAGCTAACTGATGAGCTCTGATTCTAAGTTCGATTTGTACGAAGTATTTTTTTGCTTTTAAAAATCGAGAAAATAGAATAAATTAGGGATTAATGGGTCAGGGTATTTTCTAGAATTTCCTGATCTTTCAATCGAAAATGCTATGAATAAATACTGAACCTCTACCTAGTCTAAGCGTAGTTTAATTTCATTGACACTGAAAAACAGGAAGGTCTCCCGGGAATTTTATCGGTCAAAACAGTCTTTTGAGAAATATTCATATCTTGCTAGCACTTTAAATTCTGGGGTTGAGAATATTTTAAAACTGATAAGTACTGTTAAACCTCTTTAAATATCTTGAATATTTTTCTTTGTGAAGGCAGTTGCAGAATGCGCTAAAATATGCTTCATTATGTATATGTACTATCTATTCATTCAAATAAAGCTTGTACTCGTTTTCAATGTCTTGAATACCTGATAACAGACCTGTAACATCAAAAGGTTTTAAAACGGAAAACATTCTTTTGATGGTTTCAATTTCTTAAACACCAGTTAATGACTTTGCACGTAACAAAAACCAAAAATTCGCAGAAATGGAACAACCATCTAACTTCGGTGATCTTTCAACAGCTTCCTGTAACAACAGCATTGCACGTTTCATTCCGTCTGTATTGTTTTGTTTGTGGAAATATAAGAATGTAAGATAGCGTATAAATACTATTGGAGTTCCAATAGAAAAGAACGTATCGATTAATCACAGGTCTTCGTGAAATATAAAACTATCGTCAATTTGTACATCCCTTTGAACACAAAAAGATCTGATCATTGAATGTCTTAACCTTTTGAGGAATTGTCTACTTGGAACTAACGTGTTTTCAAAAGTAGTTTGCTTGACTGCAGATAAGTCCATTAAGATAGACATTGTATATAAATCACGAGATAAAATCTACTCTGAAAGTTGAAGTATATCATTCATCTTACGATATTCCTGACAGGTGTAGAAAAATGCTGCGAGTAGTAACCAACCTGACACGGCATCGCTGTTTAAATTCAACAACAGATGGAATAAACATTGTTTATATTGAGAGTAATACTGCTTATTACTGCTGTGCGGTAAATCAACTGAACGCATTTTAATAGAAGTTGCTTTACTTCTACAGAAGTCTAGTAACGCAATTGCATAGATGTTTTTGAAAAATGTTGGACAGTTCTCATTTAGAATCCTGTAAGCAAAGAAACTCAATGATCTGAATGATATATCTCCAATACATTGTGCACAGTTTGGGATATTCAGTGTCATCATGGTTTTATCGAATTCTGAAATGACACGTAATGGTTTCGAAATATAGCACTTGGCATGACGTAAATCATAAAGTAAATCCAATGACAAAAGTACTTCCCATATATTTCCTATAAGAAGTCTTTCTATAAAAATTCCAAGTTGTTTTCCAACTTTTTCTGACAATCTTCCTTCAATCATATTATGTTGAGGAATAAAATAATTTGGAATATAATTACATAAAACAAAATAATGGAGTCGCTGTAAGCATAAGGAAAAGCAACGCAACAAGTTTTCAGGTACCCAATATGAGCATTCGACTTCTTCTGAGACCCAGAAAAGAACCGTTTTCATGTAATATGAACATAAAAGTTTGTTAAAAATATTAACTTTGTCAATGATCTCTTTTAGAAAAATCTTTAACAAGGCATAGCACAACAGCTGACTGTGGTTGAATGAGTGTACTAACAGTTTTTCAGTTAGAGAAAATGAAAACCTCCATTCAGAGTTGTTTTCTTCAGAAGGAGGAGACTTACTTCCTACGGGTACTAATAACACGCCTTCATTGCGTTGCCTCTGCTATCAAATCTGACAAAGGCCATTTTCCGCATCTATTTCTGTGTAACCAACGTTTTGCAATTGAAGGCCATTCACGACAAGGAAGGCATAGGACACAATCCAAATCCGCAATTCCTTTTAGTGCTGTAGACAATGCTGGACCCTGAACCTTTAACAGTGTTTGAACATCCACATTCAGTATTTCAGTAGTGACAGACAAATTAGGATCTTCCTCCATAGCTTGTAAACTCGTTTGTTTTAAACTGTCGTTTTTTAAGAGTAGTCCTTCCACTGTCTGTATAACATCAATGTCGTCTATAAGATCACTATCATTAGTAACTTTGATTAAAGCAAAACCTGGCAAAGCATTATCTGTGTCTAGAATGAGATGCTTTTCTTTTGTATTTCTTAGCTTTTCTTCAACCATATAGGCATACAAAAGCCACATCAAATCTAGGTCACTACCAGGAAGATCAAGACCCTCTGCTTTACTGCCGCTGCTAATTAATCTTACGTCTCCCACGTTCAAGCAGTCATCAAAGCATTTATAAAAGTATCTTCTATATTTGACCACTTTTTCCGATCCAACAACAACATCAGAAAGGTAATGATATAATTTGACAGACAAGCATGGTAGGTCATTTTGATTATCCATTATTGAATAAAAGCTTAAATCTTCAAGCTGCAAAAGAAAAATAAACTATGATATTTAAAAAAACACATGATGAATTCTACAACGCATATCGAGCTAATTAACATCTTTGAATTGAGAGATTAACATGTTATCAATAAAAGGTACACACCCTATGTATGGATATACCAAGCTCAAGACCGGTTAGATATTTATAATAATATCAACGTAGACATTCAGCTGTAGGTAACACATCACTCTAAATAAATACATAAAATTAAACAAAAGGAAGACAAGAATAAGCAAGGTCTATAATATATTGAACACCACTTAAGAATTCGTACTGGAATGCTAGAGCCAATTGAAATCGTAGGGAGAAATCATAGATGACGAATGTTTATTTACTAATTCAAGATGGATTTCAATTGAGGAACAATTTCAATTTGATCGAATCAAGCTTTGTATACATGATTGAAAATCAAAAAATTAAGAATTAAAAATATTTGAAATAATTTCACTTTCTAACATTAAATACGAGGTTTATCTCTGAATAGATTAAAACCTTTTCAATTTGATATCATCTTTTGCAGTCTTAATGCAAAAGAAAATGTAAAATGAAGGACAGCATTTTTGCAGAATGGTCCGAAATAAATACACACGAACACAAATGCAGCTTACAGTTTTCGCGAATGTGACCTACCAAATTAGACTATTTGCCGGATTTGTAATAACATAAGCAACACGACGGGTGCCACATGTGGAGCAGGATCTGCTTACCCTTCCGGAGCACCGGAGAACACCCCAAGTTTTTGGTAGGTTTTGTGTTGCTAAGTCTTTAGTTTTCTATGTTGTGTCATCTGTCTGTTTGTCTTTTTATTTTTGGCCATCGCGTTGTCAGTTTGTTTTCGATCTATGAGTTTGACTGTTCCTCTGCTATCTTTCGTCCCTCTTTTACATGAATATGCAAATCATTAAAAATACATCAGCAGAATAAACAAATGTAGAAGTATGTTTACTTTGTTATCTATACAATGCCCAAATTGAACTGTAAAAGGATAAAACATTACCAGTTATCCATACAGAAAATCAATTAGGATAAAAGGCCAAATGTAACAAATAATGCCCGAAGCAAAATATATCACTCTAGTATCTTTCGCCTCTCTTCTACGACGGCTTTATCGCATTAATAATCGGATTATACCCTGTAACAATTGTTTTGATGATTGATTGATCTTTCAGAACCCACCTGTTATATCTATTGTTAATTTGTTCTCGTCCTGAACATGCATGAAATATTTGTGGACGTTAAGAAACCAACTATCAATCAATCAATATTACAGATTATATTTTATTTCATGTTAAAATAGGTTATAAATGTTTTATTTACATGTATAGATAAGAAGATGAGGTATGATTGCCAATGAAACAACTATCCACCAGAGACCAAATAGAAGTAAAAACTTCACGTCACTGTAAAAAAGTAAAACCAGTTAAAAGAAAAAAAAAACACAGCCTCCTTTCATAGAACCATATAACTGTTGAGTAGAACACATTGGGTATTCTTACTTGTTGTGATTTTCTCTGCTTTCAGACATTCTTCTTCATAGTCAGCTTCTAATAACCCATTTTGAGTAATCCTCCTTTGCAGTTGGCTCCTTATCTATTATCTATGTTTGTCCGATTTGTTAGTATGTTTATCTTTACTTCCAATAAACATATTGTTTTTAAGTGATGTTAAAAGTATAAACTCTCTCAACTCTATCTAAACGTGATACGGTGTCGAATCTGAGAGGTACAACTATTTTTTATACTCTGAAATTATACATTGTTTTCTATTCCACTTGAAGCACGGCAGTTCTTTTATGTTATTTTCACTAATACATCCTATTAAAATTTCTAATTCTCGTCAATCACTCAACAAATATACCTAATATAATGTGAGGTGAAAAAAGACAAAAATGTCACATTACTCACAGCAGTTTACATTTTTCGATAAAAAACACACAAATGCACTCATTCCTGACTAACGAACACTGTCAAAATTACTACTAAATTCATATTCCCGTCATATGCTATTTGCATGTTTTCCACTACATGGAAAACAAAAGATTGAAATTATATATCTATACATATAATTAAATCATTTTACTTTAAATTTCTTTTTGGCTTAGAACAATGTCCTTTTTCGCCGTGTCAAAACACTTCATGAATTCTTAACAATTACAGATATCCAATACAATTAACTATGCAAAGGGTTATATTGAAAATGTATTTGAATATATATTAAGTTTTATTTAACCACGATAAATATTAAATTTAAACATTTATTTTAGAAGACACACGTCTAATAGTTTTAGTAAATGCGTTAAGTACAGATGAAAAAAAAAAAAAAACAAACCAAAAATACACACATTTCTCAAGGTATCGATATTGAAATATATTACCGTGTCATTGATAGAGTTAGTGTTAAGGAGTTCAAAAATAAATTTTAAATAGGGGAACCCAAAGGTTAATTGGGTGTACATATATAGTCGCCTTAACCATATTCGCATTGGTAGCAAAACCTTTGACAACATGGAACGTCTGTTTTGTAGGCAGGTATGGTCAGAATGAGATCGTTAAATCTATTGATACTCAAGAAGTATGTGCCACGTTGTCTACACATTAAAACCCATTGAAACTCCTTTTGTGTTAGGTATACTTGTTTGTAAACAAAATGTCTTTCAAACATTCCATTACTTTCTACGGTTAGTTTAAATTTCGCGTTCTTTGTCCTTGTAGCACTTACTTACTGTTATTCCTCGGAGTTCGGTATTTTTGTTATTTAATTTTTATTGTAGTATTTATTCTAAAAGTTTATCGCCATGAATATATGCATGAGAAAATTGCCACTAGACGTTAAGGAAGCAACAATAAATCATTCGAGAATATGATTCGGATTTGCTTTTACTTTACTATACGAAGACACATTACGAATATGCATACTGTAACGATATGGGCCTCGTCTTTTAACTTTAGTTTTTGTAGTTTGGGAAGTAGCTCATAAAACACGTCTTACATTAACGACATTTTTACCAGAGAGAGAGAGAGAATAAACAATAAGGCTTTTCCGGACATCACTTGTACAATTCCGTATAAACATATGAAACTGATTTACACATAGATAATATATATATATAATTTATATGGCCTTCCAAATACCGGTTTGATCCCTAATAACACTGAAGAGACATTAATTGTCGAAATCCGGATATGGTGTACAAATTTTTGCACCTCATGTTTGCGGTATACCATCTTCTCCACAAGTTTATTGTTTTCTGTTTGGTATTAAATTAAATATAAGATCCATGTTACATCTGCTGATCAATTTATTTGGCAATCGTCAATGGCAGTCAGCAGGGTTTAAGAACATCAGTTGTTCGACCTGTTAGTCAAATGCGTTTCGTTAAAATGTACCTTTTCATTTTTTTGGTCTTTCGGAAAATGTTGTTTGTGCTGTATTTAGACCCCTCTAACAAGAAATTTGTTTTGCATGCACATGTATAAAAATTGCGGTTTTTATCCAACGCAATCATAGGTTTGAACGTTGTTTTCAATTTAGAATGTTTTATATTTTTTCGTTTGGGCTTGTATTATATTTGCCTTCGGGTTTATATGATCCGTTCATCCTATTTTGACTCCTCAAAATTCAAGAGTCTATCCTAAATATAGGTAAATTGTATGACTTTCTAAATACCGTTTCGATTCCTAACATCACTGAAGAGACATTTATTGTCGAAATCCGGATATGGTGTACTAAAACCTTTGCATCTTTTGTTTGCGGTATATCATCTTTTCCGCAAGTTTATTGTTTTCTGTTTAGTATTAAATTCATAATTAAGATCCATTTATTACATCGGTGATCCGTTTATTTGGCAATCGCCAGTGGCAGTCAGTAGGGTTTAAGAACATTTGTTGTTCGACCTGTTAGTCAAATGCGTTTTGTTAAAATATACTTTTTCACTTTTTTGGCAAATGTTGTTTGCCTTTTGGAAAATGTTGTTTGTGCTATATATATATATATATATATATATATATATATATGAACGTCTGAACCAGTGACAACTCTACGATACATTGCATCCATCAGATCACCAGTGATATTGATACAAGGTTGGAAAAAAAACATTCTGTATATATAATTCGTCTAAATATCAGCCCCACAAAGTTAGATCTGTAAATTTTTGTAATATATCGCTTCGATTTCACATCATTTCATTGTACATTAAGGGAATACCATTGCGAAAGAAAAAACAATAAATACGTATGCTTGGATGTAGTATTTTGTGGCGAATTGTCCAGCATGCTCATGACTGATCAATTTTTTCTGAAAGATACCTTTACTGTAAAAGAGGGACGAAAGGTACCAGAGGTACAATCAAACTCATAAATCGAAAATAAACTGACAACGCCATGGCTAAAAAAGAAAAAGACAAACATTAGTACACAAAACACAAAACATAGGAAAATGAAGACTAAGCAACACGAACTCCACCAAAAACTTGGGGTGATCTCAGATGCTCCGGAAGGGTAAGCAGATCCTGCTCCACATGTGGCACCCGTCGTGT